CCGTAGATCTGCTTGAGAGCAGTGAGAAATAATCATGAAACAGCCTGAAGGCCATTTTGTCCTGAGATTTACTCCACCAAACAAATTAGTCCATTACTTGTGAATTTAGCCCCACTTATTATGATGGCTAGTGTTAACTGTTAACTTGTGACAGCATCTGGAATAACCTTGGAGATGGGCCTCTGGGCATACCTGTAAGGGATTATCTTGATTAATTCATTATGATATGGGAAGACCCATCTTGATTGTGTTAGACCATTTCCTGGGCAGGGGATCCTGTGCTGTATGAAATGGAGAAAGTGAGCTGCACACTTGTGTGCATTCATTGCTCTCCTTTGTCGATGTCATGTGACCAGCTGCTTCAGGCTCTTTCTCCCTTGGCTTCCCAGCCATAATGGGCTGTACCTTGAACTTTGAGATAAAATAAACCCTTCCTTAAGTTGTATTTGTTGTCATATTTTATCAACAGCAACAGGAAAGGAAACTAAGACACTCAAGTGTTAGGACACAGGCAGAATGCAGCCAGATTTTTTGTCAGAATAGAACATGAGTGACCTCTAGGCCAGTTTCCAATAGAGTCCTTGTTCCTTTCTGACACCTCATAAACTAGGCCTCCACTGTTTACTGTTCTCTTGACATCTAGTCATCCAAACTCCCAGAATGACACACTAAGCTCTGCTTACAGTGTTCTGGGGTTTTCTAGCCCAAAGTTTCAAACTCTTCCACATTCTTCCAACAAACCGTTTCTAATGACTAATGAACCACACAGTCAGGTTTATCATAGCAACACCCCACTTCTTGGTACTAATTTTCTGTAATAGTTACTTTTCTTATTTCTATGACCACATGCCTGTCAAGAAGCAACTTATGGGAGGAAGGGTCTATTTTAGCTTACAGTTTAAGAAAGGATGTAGTTCATCATGGTGGGGAAGGCATGGTGGGCATGAGTGTGAGGCAGCTGGTCACATTGATCTACAACAACGAAGCAGAGAGCAGGCAGTAAGTGGAACCAGGCTACTAAATCATGAAGCCCACCTTTAGTGACCTACTTCCTCTAGTAAGGCTCTACTTCCTAAAGGTTTCACAACATTCTAAAACAGTGCCACAAGTTGGGGTTTACATGTGCAAACATATGAACCTATGAGGGACATTTCACATTCAAAGCACAACATCTGGTCAGTGTGGACTTGTAATCTCTTGGTATGCTGCCTATTAAACTCCATTATTATGCTAAGGTCATCATCACCAGTCATTACAAATCTCAACATTTGCTCTCAGTTCTTATTCCTCATAAGTCTCCGAACTGTCTTGTGTTCCTCCAGGGTTGTGTGAAGTTCTTTGTAGTCTACGTGATCTCTTGGTTTGCTTTAGCCAACATCTTGATTCTTCATTCAGTTCTTGTTTTTTTCCCTCTCACATTACTTCTACTATTCTAAAGTTGCACTTTTCTCCTGAAGAAATTTTGTCGGATTGTCATGGCCTCTTGATCTTTCAGCAAAAGTTTTAGTATTAGTATGCGTCTTGTCCATCAGGCAGCTCATTTTTTGGTTTTACTGGCAGCCAATAGCTCAAAAGAATTTTGACTTGATTGGTTGGAGAACGTCATAAAGTGTCTGCTCTTCAGTGAAGAATAACAAGAGTTGGCGAGGTTATGGAGAAATTGAAACTCATACATTATAGGTGCCTGAAAATCTATCGACACTTTCTCTGAGAATTAATAGAGTTATCCTGCAGTGTCAAGCTTGGAGACATGGTGGATGTTATCTCCTTAACTTCTGAGGGTACAGAAGCAGACAGCAGAATTGTAATGAGCTTTCCATGAGAGAAAAATTGGGTGCCAAGAAGAACTTCCCAGGGTTCACTGGGGCTCGTTACTGACCTTTCCCTATTGATCCCATTTCTGTTCTCTATTCTCTCTTTTAATCTAATATGCTTATGGTGATAAACATTGCTAAAAGAAAAAATTGCAGCAAATGTGGTTGCAGCAAATGTAGTTGCAGATCTTAATTGGCTTTATTTGCAATTATATAAGCAGGCATCCATCTGAACCCAAAATAAGTAGGCAAGTCATGTTTCTGTCAGAGAGAAAAAAAAGTAACATAAGAAAAGTGATCTGGAACAAGCTGATTATAGCTAGTTATAGTCTGTATTATTTGAGCAGTTGGCCCCTTAGGATAGGCTGAGACTTAGTTACTTGTTATAAGAATAGGTAGAGTAGGTTACAGTCTGTTTATACATAGAGTTACAGTTCATTGTGCATGGAGAAGTATTTACTTTAGGTAGTTAGTCAGATATTATCAGGCTTGAAGATCACAGAGGATGAATCTTTCTTTTATAATCAGCAGCTTGTAAAATCAGGAGCTAAAATTCCAGGACTTTGAGTTCTAGTCAAAAGAATGGGCTCTGTGTGTATCTCTGGCCCTGGGTAGAGACAAGAAATTCTAAACTGCCTAAAAGATCATAAGATTACAGTCTATCTGGAGGCTTTCTAGTAAAGAACAAAGACACACTGTCAACCCTCCTTTAAGAGTTAGTCCATATGGGCCTGCCAATCACATGGACAGGAAAACTATTCCAGAGACTATAAGAAGTGGAAAGCCTATCCCAATAAATAGATCAGCACAAGGGTCTCTGGCCATTGTCCATTCTCACCCTGTGTGAGTGTGAGAGTGTTTTCCCCCATAAAACCAGAGGGAGATACTGGTAACATTGAGTCCTCACTTGAAACATGTCTACAGGCAACTTTAAACCAAGTTTAATTTCATCAAACAGTAGGCAAGTTATGTCCTCTCTTCCAACACTTAGAGTTAAATGGGTCCCAACAAAAACAGTATTTGCAGAAAGCAAATCCCTAACTGAAAACAGAACCCTGGGAAGTGGTCCTGAAGCTGACCTATTGCTGCCTTCACTTTGGTGCAGGCTGCATTTCTCCATGGGGTGGAAAATGGTCCTTTTCTCACCATTCCAGGTCACTTGGTGACCTTTGTAGCTCAACTCCACCATATATACAGATGAGCAAGGCAGGACATGCACGCTAGAAGATGGAGGAGGCCCCAGCCACCAGGGGCCCTTCAGTGAATTTATCTGCAGCAAGGAGTTTCATCTGGTAAAAACAAGAAGATGATGGCCCCTCATGAGGGACTGTTTATGGAGTATTCCAGATTATACAGTGTTCTTTCAGAGGGCAGGGACCCAGGTACAGATGCTTTGGAATGCCAGCCACCCCATGCTGGCCAACCTCAGGTGGACGACCTTCAGATGTTTTCAGCATTTCTGATAGCCCTTTAGATGTGGAACTGCCTTTAGTTGTGGAATGTAAAATGCTTCCTGACAGGATTAAGCTGTGCACTAAAGAAATAACTTTTTAAAAATTGTGCAAGAATGTCCCTGATGGGACATTCTCCATATGCTCCGTGACTCAGAGTAGAGTCCAAGGAATTGATTTTCCTCCCTGCAGCTTCTGTTAAATTGTAAAAACTCTTTACCAAAGATGCTGGTAGGGTGGATTAGAGTGCTCTTAAGAGCACTGAGACTTTATCCCTAGTTCATAAATCAGTGTTTCTCAAGGCAAGGCCACAGAAAACATTTGTCCCATGATGGCTCGGGGTGTTTGTTAGACATGCCTCATTCAGGCCTCACTCACACCCACAGCCTTCTAGTCTTTAGGTGTGGAGGTAGAAAGTTTACACTTCAAAATCACAGCCTTCTAGTCTTTAGGTGTGGAGGTAGAAAGTTTACACTTCAAATATTTACATTTTACATGTAACACCCTGTCTCTCATTGACAGTCCTCACACATACTGATGGGGACACATGTGCCTTGGTAGTGCCTTTCCCCCATGTGCTATATCATTCCTGGGTGAAAATGGAGGCATGACAATTGTTGGGAGCTATTAGTCTATTGTGTACATTGAGCTGTGGCAGCCTCGTTTACTGAGTTTGTGTTATGCACACCAGTACCTAATCTGCCTAATCAGGAGGAATGTGTTTATATGGAGAGCCTCACAATACCTGACCTGGAGGCAATAGTGGTAAACAAAAAGATCAAAGAAGACTTTGAAGTATCTGACTGCTCCTTGACCCTCAGATACAGGTGGGAAAACCAGCTGTTGATACGAATTGAGTCTTCTGTATAAAAAGGCAGAGCAGAAATAAACCGGGGCTGCAGGCACTACTGTCAGCCCTCCCAAGCATCAAAAAAAAAAAAAAAAAAAAAAAAAAAACAACACAAAAAACTGCCAATGCTCAGTACAAGTCTGATTCCATAATCCTGGGAAATTTAATTGTTGGTTTTTAACTGTAGGTCATGAGGAAGAATGACAGTACTCATTGTACCAAATAAGAGCACTGGGGAGTCATTCAGCTGTTCAATATTCTTCTATCACAGGGCTGCTTCACTATGCCTGTGGACATTTGCTTGGGATTTTGTTTACAAAATCTGACTCACATTTGAAGAACCCACAGATTGCATCACTTAATTTATGTCTTCCCAGCACAGCTAACCTCAATCTTTCATTTCCTCTCCCTGTCCCTGGCCACTGGGGGTGGATGAGGTGTTTTCCCCTCTAAGCCAGTGCTTCTCAGTCTTGGATGCACATTGAAACTACCAGGGGAGCTTTTAAAGATACTGATGTCAAGGTCACAATAGAAATCAATTACATTTGGATTTCTGGAGGTGGGACCCAAGTATTAGCACATAGGCCTTCCAAAACCACAGATTCCATCAACCACATTCCATGAGTTACAAATGAGTTTCAATCAGCCACGAATTGAAAACACTCAGAAAAAATTTCTTTGGCAAATCTGATCCCTGTCTTGAGCAACTGCAACTGTCCATCTACCTCCTCCTCCACTACCTCCTCTGTATGATCTCCTGTCATAGTCTTGATCATCATAACCTCGCTCACACCCTCTGCGTAATAATCCCTACAGCTTGAGCTGCCACAGGTGGGTCTCCCATGTAAATTCCTGGTGTTGGAGTATGTGGTCTTTTTGTTACAGAGAAGTCAACTCCTGTGTCTATCAAGCTCGATTTCATTGACACTTTCTGGTGGAAAAGCTTTTGTTTTTGCCTGCTGGCCGTTGTGAATTCATCTGTCCTGTTCCATGTAAGCTCATCTACCCTATTGTTGCCACTGCTGCTGCTGCTTCTCTTTGATGACATCAGAACCCAACTTCTTCAGCCTTCCAATGTGGAATGAAGACCAGTGTTTCTCTAGGAACCCTCCAGGCCTTCAGCAACAGACTGGGACTGCTGAGGCATCCAGCCTTGTGGACGAAGCAGTTACCAGTTCTCAGCCTCTCCAGTGTGAAGACAGCCATTGTTGGACTGCCCAGACCACATCATGTAAACCAATCTAATGAATTCCTTTTAAATGTGTGTTCACTGTATTGCTCCTGCTCTAGAGAGCCCTGACTAATAGAGGGGATCCCATAGGTTCTACACAAATACTATGATATTCTATATAATGGATTTAAACACCTGAAACAATTTCCTGTGGTACAAAAGGATGATCATATTTTCAAAGCTCCACAGGTGATTTAACTGTGCAACCAAAGGCTATTTCCTCCATTTCTAATGGAATTTCAGACTTCCCACACTGGGGGTGATATTCTGTCTCCATATTCTTCCCCATCACTGGACTGTACCATCCCACAGTCCCATTCATCCCTAAGCCCTGGAGGGAACACTAACATTGTACTGTGCAGATCCTCCACCTCCAGTCACATACTGTACTTGGCTCTTGCTAGGCCCAGAGTGTTCTGATCCCCTCTGCAACTGAGTTGCCAGTTTGCTGCCTGTGGATTCTTTTCTCTCCCAGCCTTGCCTTATGTCCTGATACTACCAAACCACATAATTCCTGTCACTAGATTAAAACTTTGAAGCTTACCTCACCAAGAATATGTTCATCTCCATGAACTATTTGGGGCAGTTCACCTTACTGGCCAATGCACGAAGTAGCATAAGGAAAGAATTAGATGAATTAGTGACTAAACTGACATTCTGTGTTGAAAATAAGCCTGGGTGCTTTTCCCCTGGATCCTTTGATTCTCAGGAGCTCAGAGAAGTAAAGGACAGAAGAAAGTTTTGACAAAAATTTGGCTAGGTTTCAGCCAAGTTAGTTTAATGGTGAATCTGGCAGAGAAGCAGCATGGAACAAATTTGCTCATTCAACAAGTAATTTACTGACCAATACATATTACATGATAAGCCTTGTGTAAAGTGCTCAGATGCAATAGTGAACAAGATGGATTAAGCACTTGTCCTCAGAACTTACCTTGAGGTAAGGGAAGTTGCCAGTTAAGTGTGCTAATATATCAAGACGCAGATGTGATGTCGTGGTGGGAGAAGTCATCACTAGGGCTTTGTCATAGGGACTGAGGAGAGCTGAAAGATAGATACAGCCAGTCCCCCATATCTACAAGTTCCACATCTCTGGATTCTACCAATCATAGTTGAAAAATACTAAAACAACAAGAAAGATGGTGTCCATGCTGAGCAGCCATGGACTTTGTTCTCATTATTCCTGAGCACATTTCCATAGCATTCCCATCGTGTTGCTATACAGAGAGGGAGTATGGATGCAGGCTCTAACGACATCATTTTATATAAGGAATTTGATCACCCATAGATGGGGGTTGGTGTGTCCTAGAGGCAGCTACCCATGGCTGTCTCACTTAATGGACAAAGGGCTGGAAGGACTATGGTAGAGATGATTGTCAACACAAAGCTTTTGTAAGGGAGGGGCTAGCATGTTGAGACCTACAACTGAAAGGCTCTGAGCCTCCCTGAGGTTCATCTAACAAGGCTAGGTCATGTAGAGCCTCATTGCCATGTTCCCAGAGCAGCAGGAAGCCACAAGTGTTGCCAAACATACCTGTAATCAGTTGATCACCTAAGTGCATACTGAGGACAGATGGGAGTCGGAGGGGTGGAACACAGACTGTTAGCTGGTGTTCTCCATGGTGGAGACAAGAATAATATTTGTAGGAAAGGTTTGATTGCTCAGTAGTCCTGCTAACGCAGACTAGGGTGGCACAAAAAGGTTGGATAGAAGAGAGAGGATTCCTGAAGCATGTAGGAGTTGAAGTCCATGGGGCCAGGCAGGGGACTGGTAAGTACAGTGGGTGGATTTGGTTTGCCCTCCCCTCTTGCCTTCTTTCTGGGGTTCAGTACAGACAAATCCCCTTTCCAAAGGCCTTTGATTTTGGACTACTAAGCAAGGAGTCTTTTGTAATACAATGCAAAAGGAACAAAAGGGACAGAGATTTGTTTTTAGTTTAAAGACACAGGAGTTCTATAGAAGTACTCTTGAAGGTATAAAAGATTCCTTTGCCCTGGAGGTGTTTGATATTGAGGCTGTACCAAAGGGAAAGCTTTGCTCTCCTATTCACTAGGTTCATCCCAAGCCCCACTGCTCTTGCTGTGGAAATCAAAGACAGGAGTTAGCACTCTTGAGGTCAGGAGAAGCAGCAGCAGGTGGTATGACCCAGGGAGCAAGGCAGTCACAGGGGATGGGATCTTCTCCATCAGGGGACAGATTCAGGAGAATACAGTAAGGACACGGCAGTGGAGTCTACATGGGCCAGACAATGAATAAGTAAATCTACAAATACATAAGCCTAGGGCCTGGTTTACCCTGATCCTGAAGGCTAAACTCCTCCATATCTACAGATGAGCAAGGCTAGGCTTGCACACTAGAAGCTGGAGGAGGTCCCACCCTCCAGGGTTCCTTGAGTGTTCTTCCAATTTGTCTGCAAGCAAGGAACGCAGATGGCAAGTTTCATCTGGCAAAAAAGGCAAGATGATAGGAAAGCATGAGGATCACTTCATTGAGACAGTCCATTCGCTGACTCAGTGCTGCGTGGGACAAGTATTGCCCATGGCCATCATCTGGTTCTAGTATGGTGATATAGGAAGTGGTGGAACCTTTAAGAGGGACCTAGAAAGAGGTAACAAGACTGTCCTCTCCCTACTCTCTGACTTTCTGTTTTTCACTGTATTTGTTCTCTCTCTCTCTCTCTCTCTCTCTCTCTCTCTCTCTCTCTCTCTCTCCCCTTCTCCCTACCTCAAATGTGCGCGCACACACGCACACACAGATTCTTGCTATAGTCCCATCTACCAGGAGGTAATGTAGCCAGGGAACCCACCAGAGCTGGTCCAGTATTTTGATAGTTTGAACTTTCAGCTTTCAATGCTGCGAATTAAATAAACCTGTTTTCTTTACAAGTTATTCCACCTCAGATATTTTGTTATGTATCAAAATATTAACTAATACATTCTCAGAGGCCAAGGATATCTTGTTTTCCAGTTCCTTGTTAGAAGAATCATCAAGTTTGTAACCTACAGCAGGGATAAGTCTCTTCCTGGGAGTATACAATTGGAATATCAAATCAGCTGAGTTATGCCTAAGTGGCCAGGTCTTGTTTTTATTTTCTATGTATCATAATAATCATAATTAGTTTTATTTATTTATTTATTTATTTATTTATTTATGTATATAAATACACCATTATGGGTACAATGCCTACAGAGGCCAGAAGAGGGAGTCAAATTTCCCAGAACTGGAGTTACAGATGGTTGTTAGCCACCATGTGGGTGCTGGGAACTGAACACAGGTCTTCTGCAAGAGCAGCCAAGGCTCTTAACCACTGAGCTGTCTCACCAACTCCAATAATGGTAATTTTTTTTTTTATCTTTTTGAGACAGGGTCTCCTTGTTGCCCCAGCTGTTCCAGGACACTTGCACATGTGACCTTGTGGCAATAATGGTAATTTTTATACTGTTACAAAAAAAATGAAATCTTGAGTTTGATTTTTCAAAGGAGCTTTCCTATACTTTGGTTTTATTTCATGTAATCCTGCCAATCTGAAAGGTTTCTTTTGAAAAGTTACCTGTATTATCCATTCAACCTCACCACTACAACTTTCTCTCAGTGTTTTCTCAATCTGTGCAGTAACAATGTTGATAGACTTTCATTAGGCACTTGGCATCCAAGCAAACCCAATAAGACCATTGCCCACAACATGTCCACAGAATTGAGCAAATGCCCAACTATGTACATTCTTTTGCTTCCCCAGTGTTTGAGCATGGTAAGAGAAAAATAAGAATGTATCATAGACAAGGATCACCACCCACCAAGAACCTCCAAGTCTACCTCCCACAACACTGCACACCAGTTGGTTCTATAGTGAGCCCTCTAGTTCTGGACCACCCCTGATAATTGGATGTTGTGAATGAGTGGAAAATGGGTGGGCAAGAGAATGGTGGCAGACCGAGGTCAGTGTGGTTGGAATGGGGATGGGAGAGAACACTGGGCAGCTCTTGAGTCCTCCATTCATGTAGGTAAGGTCCTGGGCAAAGAACAGATCTTGTACTCTGAGCTCCGTGGGCTCTGATTTTCCCACATACCACATGCCTATATCCCTCACCCCTCGGAACCTCAGCTCTGCCACCTCTGCCTGCCCTGCTACCACTCAGGAGGATCCAAATAAGGAAGGGTACTGCAGCCTGTTGGCCACCATGAAGAACAGCCCATGCTAAGAAGCTACAGGCTCTCAGCACTATCTTGAGTTAGCTAGTATTATAACGCTGTTAGTCACGTGCTGATGAGAGATAAGCAAGCCGAGTAGAAATGAGCCTGTGAGTGAATGAGGTTAAAGAACTTCCAACCTGGCCAGCAGCTCAGCCTTAGTCCCAAACCCTTCACTCTGTGTGAGCTGTATGCATGTACTTAGATCCTCACCAACTATGATCTGTGAGATCCAGGAGCTCAGCTTTCTCCCTGGTTCTGAACACCAGAGGAATCTTAACCTTCAGATAGAAGCAGAGCTTAGAGACCAACGAGTGTCACTCCATTTACACCCCCATGTCATTTCTAAACCCCTCCATATTCTGGGCCATATTCTGCAATTCCTAGAATTGCAACCTTTGTAAACATTCTGTTCAAATATCTTGTCCACATCGTACAGACAGCAGCTTTGCCAGGGCAGTCTTCCTCCCTTCTGGGAGACACTGGTTTGAGTTAGCCTTTTTCCTCTAGGCTGGTCTCACTTCTGTCTGGGTTAGCACCACACCTCTCACTGTGGCAGCACTCTGTCTTGACAGGGATAATACCTCAAATACTGTAGAGATAGCAGCAGCTGTCCCACTTAAACTGAACAAAGGGGGCCATTACTGAACCACTTTGCCTATTTGGTCAAATTTTTTTGTCCCCCCATTAATGTGTTAAAATTCTAATTCCAAATTCTAATTCCTTCATTAGGAAGCAGAGATTTGGGGAGGTCATTAGGTCATGATGGTAGAGCCCTTAGGAATGGAATTAATGACTTTATAAAAGAACTCCAGGGACTGGAGAGATGACTCAGTGGTTAAGAGCACTAGTTGCTCTTGAAAAGGCCCTGGGTTCTATTCCCAGCAACCATATGGTGGCTAACAACCATCTGTAACTCCAGTTCCAGGGAATCTGATGCTCTCTTCTGACCTCTGTGGGCATTGCATGACATGGGTGCATTTACATACATGACTGTCTGTAATTCCAGTTCCAGGAGCTTTGACAACCTCTTCTGTCCTCCGTGGGCATTGCATGACAGGGGTACACTTACCTACATGCAGGCAATACACAAATACACATAAAATAAAAACAATAAATAAAATATTTTTCCAAAAAGAAATAAAAGGACTCTAGAGTGTTGTTCCAACACTTAAGGGCACAGTGAGTAGATGACCACTGTAAACAAACAGCTCCCACCAGACATGGTGTCTGCTGGTACCTTAATCTTATATTTCAGGTTCTCCTAATGTGAGAAATTAATTTCTGTTAAGGCACCGAATGTCAATGATGACAAAAGACAATTCCACGACGTCACCTTCAGCAGCTGGAGCTGTTCCTTAATCTTCTAGGAACCTCAACTCAAGCTAAACCAGGAGTCACGGATTTGATGCAGAAAAGAATTTCAGGACTAGCCAATAAGAAGCAGAGTTGGAGGATTTTATTAAAGATATTTCAATATAGTCTTTAAACAGGAGGGTTAAGAAGAAGAGAGGCATTCAGAAAGAGAAGTTCACCATATCATTATCACACTAGATATTCCATCCATCCCTTTAGCATGATTTAAAGTGAATCTGCCTTCCTAGGAGTTGTCCAGGTGATTTAC